ACAAAAAAGAGGGCCAAGAAAACCGCGCGTCAGAAAAACAAAGAAATTTTTTTTTTTTCCTTATGTGATTCAAAACTTTATATAAAATTAAACCCGCCTTTAAAAAAAAAAAAAAAAAAAAAAAAAAAAAAAATACAAACAAACAAACAAACATAATAACAAGGTTCAATTTTTTTAGTTACCGGCGCAAAACTTTTTCCGATCAAAAACAAATTTTTATCTAAAAAAAACAAAGATGACACGTTTTCTATTTGTTTACATCATTCATTATGGTAACTAACTTTGAGCAATAGAAAATTTTAGGTATTTATAAAGGCAATGTTTTTTTTTTCTTGAATCATGGCGGGAAAAATTTCGTTATTGAATCATGAATTAAAAGAAACAATAAATTCATTTGCTCGATTATAAGCAAATTCTTAAGATTTAACTTTATACGATTTATGAAGGATGTAATATTTATTTATTCTTTTTCAATTCTTGAATTCACACTTTTCATTGAATCATTCGTCGTCATATACTCCCAAAAATTTTCTTTAAAATTCGTAATCTTTGAAAAAAAAGGTCAAAATGTCTGAAAGATATTAAACTTCTCGTATCTTTTTATTCCACCTCCATCATATTCAAAAATGTATTTTAATTATTAATCTTGTTCAACCGATGAATTCGATGAATTAAATACAATTATCCGATCGTCTCACATTTGTTTTAAAACAATTTTTTTTTTTTACCGATTCCTTTATTGTTTATCAAAATTGACTTTTTTTTATCCCGCTATAAAATTATGCTTGCTTGCCATATAAATCTTACACATATGTAAAATAAAAATAAAATATTTTCGTCATCATTAATTGAATTACTGTACAATCGAAACATTTTAAACCCTTCTCGAATTGATTCGTAACCGGATCTCCTTTTTTTTTATTCTAGATTAAATTCCTTTTTTTCTATATAGATAGTTTGAACGGCTTCATAAAAACCTTCTGATTTTTTATATACACCAATTTTTTTTATAATTAAGAATTAAGAATTTTTTTTTTTCCCTTTTTTTTTTTTATAAAAAAAAAAAAAAACAAAATGAAAAATGAAATCATCGTAGTTTATAATTTTAATTGATCAAAATAGTGCAGTTGTTCTTTTTTTTTATGTTTGTATAGCTTAACGTTATCTAATAAATAAAAATTTTAATTGTGAGAAATAAGATAAGTTTTATGTGAAGAGATACATAAACGCTCAAATGTCATAGTTTGCTTAATATGATCGATATCTTAATGAACCTTTTTAAATTTTGGTGCCTGCCTATAACGAATATTTGATACGACTTTATTGCGGTCAAAGGACATTCCTTTTGTCAGACAGCATTGAAATCCCGAAATTTACAAGGAAAATCTCAATGTTTTCGTTGAAGTTTCTTTCTTTTTATTCACCCGAAAGTTATTATTATAATAAAAGAGCAAGCGCCAAATCAAATAACTCAAAAAATCTCGAATCTAAATTTTTTCATTATATGTAATACTAGGTACATTCGAATCCAAGATTTCATGTTCAACATTCGAATATCCTAATTTCGAAATTTTTTTTTTTTTTCAAAAACTCTCAAGTAACAAATTCTCTGACAAATGACAAGTAGAGCGATACAAATACATGGTAATTCTTAGCTGGTTCGCCAGCAGGAACTGGCCTTAATTGCAGTCTGACAAAAGTAGTAAGTTCATTTACTGTATATATTGTTTCCTAGTTGATCACTAACTCGCTAACAGCGACAGGGACTAGTCTTGATTACTATTATTACATAACACCAATTATATTCAAGCATCTTTTAACCCTACCATAATGAAACGCAAGAATGAAAACGTACACTCCGTTTAAGGTTGGTAAGTGGTTAAAAACCAAACATTTATTTGTTTATACAATCAAAAGAATTAAAAAGTTCGGGTTCACGAAAGAAAATTATTGGATCCCTGTAATAATGAAATCAAGCGTTAGTTGAACGGTTCCGAATTGATAATCCAAAAGAAGATTGATGTTAACGTATATAACCAAAGAAATCACCTAAAATTTTAAAACCTTCCAGCGCCAATTTGTATACATACAAAGTAAATAGTACATCAATGAAAAAAATAAAAAAACCGAATACTCGGTGTTCGGTATAAATAAATAAATAAAATAAAAAAACAAAAGAACAAAGAAGTTTTTCATTAAATTCCGTTGCTTTGAAAAAAGTTTCAAAATTTATATTTTACAAGTTAAGTATTATACTTTACATTATGGAATTTTTTTTTCTTTGGGAACAATCATTACATTTCTTTATCAGATATTTTTTTTAATATATTGTTTATGATTGAAGACATGAATGTTTCAAGTTTACGAAAAAAAAAAAAAGTTTCAATTTTTCCAAAAAAGGAGCATATATAAAAAAAAAAATTCAAAAATAATTTTAAACACATTTGTACCTCCTAATGTAGATCATATGTCAAAAAAAAAATTCTCGGTACTCTATAAAGTTTTTCATTTTCCCTTTTTTTCCCTTTTTTTTTTTTTTTTAAAAAAAAAAAATAATAAATGACGGCAATTAAATGAAGTGTTGTAATGAATGAAACCTTGGGATATTAAAAATCGAACCTTAATGACAGTTGCACAAATAAACGGATTAAAGTTTAATAATCATTAAACCTTATCAGTTTATCGGTTTCAAGTTTAAAAATCATGGTGCAGAAGAACGCGAAAAAGAATTCAAGGAATTTAGGGAGATTGGCATCTACTTTTTTAACCCCCCTATGATTCAATATTTCTCCTGAAGAAAAAAATAATTTCTCGAATGAGAATTTTTAAAGATAAATATCGAAAACTTTTTTTGTTTTAAAATTTCCATTTAAGTCAATCATTGGCACACTAATGATCAGTTTCACAGAATAAAATCTAATTTGTTTATATATTTGTTGCACATTGAAATTTCAACTAGGTTTTGAGATTCCGGAATAAATCTGGTTTTTTTTTTTTTTTTTTTTCTTTATCCTTACAAATTTCGCATCAATTACATAAATATATTAACTTTGAATTTATTTATAATTGATTGTTCGAAACACGAAAACATTGCGTTTTTTTTTTTTTTTTTTTTTTTTTTTTTTTTTTCGACTAGACATCCGTAAATGTCCATATCAATTGTAAAAACATATATATATGTGTACAAAAAGTACGGGATTAATCTTCCGAATAAATTATCTCATTTGAAAATATCACCCTTAAGACACTTTAACCAATTTTGTCGGTCATCTTGGCCCATTCAATAAACATCAAAACTAAATAAATAGACAATGAGCACATTGCATCGTTACTACATTTACAAATATAAATAAATACATATATATTAATTGTAATTTCCCTAAAAAAAAAAATTTTTACAATATTAATAACACAAAATAACATGCATCATTTTATTTTGCTTCACACAAGCAAAATTTAAATCCCTCGACTTAAACTTTTTTTTGCTATCTAATTAATTACGGTTTTTCACTTGTAATTCTAATATAGGGTTAATCTTTGCAGGATTGTTGATAAAACAAATTAATTAATTTACATCCCCAATTTATTCGAAACATATATATTTTTTTTCTCCCAAAAAAATATATATATACACACATAATTTTTTTTTTTTTTTCACCTGGAAAATTTTCCAACTTTGAAATATTTATCGACTAAAATTAGAATAGTTTTGCTATATAAAAACAACGGATGCAAATCATTCTCACGTGCCCTATATCACACCTCCCCGAGACTTTTATAAAAAGAGTGTTTTTTTAATTTTTTTTTTTTTTCCTCTTACAAATTAAAAAGAATTTCCATGATACTTTTATTATGTATACCGGAAAATTCATCGATTTTTGCGTTCTACTATTAATAATATGTAACAGCACGTATTGTACGGCGAAATTATCATTGTTCGATCAAAGTAAAAATGAATTGGCATCTTTTGACACCATAAATTTCATATGGATTAAATCCTCTTTGATTTCCTTGAGCAATGCATCCTTGGTGATCGGTGAATTCTTGAGTGGTTCAACGCCGTGCAGAATAAAACCTCCCTCGATACCGAACATTGACGTCATATTGATAAAATTTGATAAGGCGTCAACAAATTACGGATGTTCTTCTTACGCGGACGTAATTCAAAGGTAAAAAGTCGAGAATTTTTCTTTAACTTTTTTTTTTTGCAAAACTTAGTAATTTCGGAAAAAAAAAAAATTTTTTTTTTTTTTTTTTGTTCTTAACTAAAAATTACAACCCTCCGTAAAAATGAGCAAATTGAAAAAAGGGACAAATTTAGTAATTTCATCAGAAAATCAAAATATTTTTTGTTTATGTCAGGGGGAGGTTATATTATTATCTAAAATTGGTAAAGATTACGTATAAACCGCAGCATTTATGTAGTATGAGAATTCAAAATAACCGAAAACATTTTTTATCCCGATAGTAACGGATGGCTAGATGATCAAGATGATCAACCTGAAACGGCCGAGTTTCCTACCGAATCCATAACGATTACAACAACCATATCGGGATGTGAATTATCGTCAACACCTAAATCAACAACAATTTGTAACAATGCGCTCTCTTTAAATATGGTACAACCACGAGACAATGTTTCAACACCAAAGGTAATAATCTTCTCGTCAATGAATGGTGGTGATCCTGGAATAAGGGATAAATATTATGGAGACTTTAAGATATTATCAAAGGCTAAATCAAATTTGGCATTAATAAGACGATCTGATGCGAAAAAGGTTTCAAAGTTAAAACCTAAAACTTCTTTTGTCGAGTTTATATCAGAAACGGGACCTTGGATGGAATTGCTCGAAAGCAAAGAATTAAAAATATGGTCCATTTTATTTGGAATCTTTTATTCGTTCATTATAATCTCGTCATTTTCATTATTCGTCTTGGCCATAAAAAAATATAAATGTGCTCCTACAAATCCAAGATTATGGTTATTTATTGCAATTATTTCTTGCGCATGCAGTAAGTTAACATTTGTTAGGTTCGAATTACCATTTTTAGTTATATATATATTTATCTATATATATCATAAATTTTAGTTTTCCTTTCTATGCTGGAATATGATCCATGGGCCATGCGTTCTAATCATTTATCAGAGTTGAAGTATGAATCTATCGTCATGACGGGATATTACGTGTTATGCCTTTCTTATGCGATATTCCTGTTTCCATGGTAAATTTCGCGAATTCAATCTAATACGCTCTTTATTACCACACGATTTTAATCTTCCTCGATCGATTTTATAGGATCAAAGCGACAAAGAATTTGTCAGAAGAAGTAATTTATAGGATAGAATTGGTTCAAAAGTTATGTCGCATATTTCAATTTGGAATAATAATCGCTATATTGTTGAAAACAGGATCTATAATATTTTACCTGTTTCGATTTTCTTCAATGAAATTTATAATACCTTCAAAATTATTACAATTGATATTTATGATACTGGAAGGATTATTCTGTTTGATTACGATGTTGATTTTCGGGATTTTCGGTACCATCATTTTCTTTGCAAGAATGCATGAACAACGTTTGATACGAGCATTAAGAAAAAGAAGAAGACCAAATAATGACGTTCCAAGTCAACCTAGTGCGCGACAGGCACGTGTTGATAAAGAAATTATCACGGTAAATATAATCATAATATTTCTGTTTTTGTATCTTTTTTTAATTCTAAGAATTAACATTTTATTTTTATTTTTCCTTTTAGTCGCTTACGCTAACAATATTATTAATAATATCGATTTTATTTATCACATTGCAAAAAGTTACAATATATTTATCAATAACAATACAATCATTTTGGATAACGAGGATAACATTTGACGTGTCAAATATCTTTTGTAGTTTAGTGTTATTATTCGGATTACATTCAAATACTATTGGAAAATATTCTCACATGACGTACACTGGTAGTAGTGATGAAAACGTTACTATCTCCACCATCTCACCTCCCCCTTCAAGGGATTCTTCTTTACATAATTCGAGTATTGCCGCCGGCGCTACTTCTCGTCATAAAAGGAGAACTACTGTGGAAATTTTATTTGGTAGAAGGAGTTTAGGATTGTAAATAATTTTATAGTAAAGACGATAAAAAGGGGTTTATCATTTAATATTTATCATTAATATTTATCATTTATATTTAGTTTAATATACTTCTTACACATTATCAAATTTGTAAATAGCATTTTTTTATGGGATGGGAATTTATATCATATCACATATATATTACTGATATCGTGTAAATTTAAATGGAAAAATTGGAAAAATTGAAAATGGAATTGATCTTCAATGCATATAATCAAAGGTTCTTTATTTATTTATTTTATCGTT